AGCTATTATGAATTTTCCACACTTTGTGTGCATCATAAATTGTCTGAGCATTGTCATCATTCCTATATTCCAAATTTGTCTCATCAAATTTATCCGGACATGGAATACTTCCATCAATAAAGCCCATATATCATTTCCCCCCAACAAGAAGTCTATTTGAAAATTCCAATTAGCATAATTGGAGTCATCCAATTTCACAATTACAGTGTTCCCCACACTTGAAATTAAAGACAAAATTGGTGATTGAGTAAGAGCTAACGAGGTATAATTCACCATTGTAGAGATTAAATTGATTTAATGCTAAGCAATTGGAAGAATCAACATAGAATTGCAACAATGAACAAATACAACAGTACACAGACTTGTAACAGTGAATAATCACAACACGGAATTGTAATTAACAACAATACTTCAAGAACAACAATCAAGAATCGCAAGAAACAAGTGCAACACAAAATCAAGAGCAATCCCCAACAAGAAGTGTGAAAAAACAACAGCTTGAAACATGTAATAACCAAGTAGACGAGGTGTGAGATAAGAGAACTTCTCACAATCAACGAAAATGTATCTACGAAATCACGCAACAATAAGCACCGACTTTGAAGAAAAATCCTCAAATTCAAGGGTTTCAACCACCGACTGCAAAGAAAGAAGTAAGCACTGACTGAAAACACCAATGAACACAAACGACGATGTCACAACCAAAGAACAGGGGTAGCGGAAGCATAAGGATTGTCAATCGACGGTGGCGGCCATGGTCATTTCTAATACCATATCAACACTACAAGTATTCTTACCCACTAAGTAATCTCGAGAGAGAAGAGAGAAGTTAGAGAGAGAAAGAGTTGTGCAAAATGTAGTGATATTTCATTATATGTCAATTGTAATAATTACAGATATTTATAGTTTACACCTTATAAAAACCTTAAGACATCTCTTCACTAATCTACTAACACATGTCATAATCCTAGCCATCCATTTCATTATACAATCTGTCAACAGAGAGGTGTGCATGTATGAAACGGATTATTTACCAGAATCTATCCAAAAAGTAGCAATCTTGGGATCAAAATTCCCAATTTCAATCGTCTCTCCAACTGTTCAATAAAATAACTATGTGAACCATGAGAAATGAATGAGTGAGATGATCCAAAAAAAAAAAAATTAAAATATAGATAAAAAGAATACAAGGTTAGAGATTCTTACCGTTGTCCCCAAAAAATTGCCACCAGATTTTCCTGGAGCTTCCTTCATACTCAAATACCCTTGAGTAAAAAGATGGGAGGTAATCTTATCTGAATTTTGTGCAAAAATAGAAATCATCAATAAGGAACACAAATCAATCAAGAAACGAGAATTTCATCTAGTACTCTAGAGAATAAGCTACAAATGTGAAGAGTCCAACTTACGTGTCAATTTGTGCACTCACTAAAGCTTTAACACAATGTTATGCAGATCAAAGAGCATGATCCACATGTTTAACTCGTGCTATACTGTTATACATCTGTTCAGAGCAAAACATAATTCTTTTAGAATTCAGATTATGAAAGAATTTTCTGCTTGGTTTGACAAAAATATACATTCAATGGAAACGCTGCAACATCTCCAACTGCGAAGATTCCAGGTAAACTTGTCTGGAACATACCATCAACTTACCTTCATGAAGTTTGTCTCAATACCTAGTTACACAACGCCTAGATAACTTCAGAAAATAGAGTAACGTAGGGCAGAAAATAAAAGCAAAGAGGCAAAGTCACACGTTTACAAATTTAGGCGAACAATGACATATTTTCATATCGCAGGAGAAATGTAAACAAATAAGTTATTTTTTAAACGCCAAAGTAGATGTTCATTAGCTTTGGTGGGGGAACTCATCAAATGTCTTGGGTACCATCAGAAGCATTTATAGGGATTTTTTTTTTTCAATAAAGCATTTATAGGGACTTAGAAACCAGTAAATTTCATAAAATGTTGTTGTTTACTACTTCATATGGGATGGACGTATCAAGTTACGAACCAATTTGGAGGATATTGTCCAAGCTCTTGAAGTGCCTATGCGCATTGTTCTAATCATCGAGATAAGAGTACTCAAATTTCAATCGTCTTTTGACATTGAAAAAAAAAATACTACTAAGCCAAAAATTTATTGATATCTGCTTATTATTATTATTATTATTTTGTCAAAAGATATCTGTTTTTTATTTACTATAAGAGTTATGTCCTTTACTCAAAGTAAAGCTACATACAACAAATTGGTTTAACCTTAAGCCTTCAACATAATCAGTTTGGATATAAGCATAGTATCCATAGAAAATACATGAACATAAGTGCAATTTACAAAGTTAGGGACCTCATTTCTCATAGAAGTTGAATTACTCGTGAATAATTTCTATATTAATATGATTTCACATAAACATATAAAATTTACGTTATAAAAGAGATAATTATATTGACGTACAAGTTTCTTTCCTAGGATAAATGTGGCTATAGTAATGTTTCTTTCTAGTTTTATTCCCCCTTTGTCATAGGTAAGACTTGAAAACCATACAAATTAGGTAGATTCCATTGATGAGCGATAAAAAAAAAAGGAACAAAATTAGTGGATCATATGTGAAATGTGAAAGTGTAAGCAATAACATACCCTAAGAGGCCTCAAAAGTCACAGGAATGCTCTCCTATTTTGCTAAAAACAAAGTCACATGCTTGGTTAGTCCATATGGCTTCTTTGTGTGGTGTCTGGTCCACCTTTTGGAATAAGTTGTCAATATGCATTTCAGCAGTCTTACATGTGATATTATACTTTGTTGCCTACATCAAATCTCAATGGCTATTGGCTAGTCCTTTCCAACTTTCATAATACTAAAATTCCAAGTCATGATATAGAGTCCTGATGGCATAAAAGGTTGTACGATGTAGCGTGATTTCATTGTATATGACATCATAATTCGAACATTGTGGGACCATGATTTTTCAAAATTGGAGTAAAATAGATCGAAATATATATACCTCAGAAGTTTGTCGATCATGGACCAACGACGCCACCACATCTTGTTGTGCTCCGAAAAGGTAGCTGAAGTCCGCCAACTTCTCTAAGATTGGTTTACCGCAAGATACGGAAACCTAATCCAATTGGAAATCATATAGATTTCCTATATTTTTAGAAATTCCTACAATCTAGAGATTGGCGTGTAGCACAAGTAATCACACTCTTAAGAGGAAATACCTACTTCTAGATATCTTCTTGGACTCTCCCGATTTAATATGGATTCAATATCCTAAAGGTCTCTCTCGACTAGTATAAACACACCCATCTTGGGTTCATTTCTGGTGATGCAATTATCTCATACTTTATTCTCTTGCCCACTTCTTGAATCTTATATTGCTTACTAACTTGATCGTCGGAGAGTCTTTGGCCGGTATCCTACCGATACCTAAGGTTAATTGTGGTTGTTTCTCTTTTACAAGTAGTCGAATTTGTGTATCTCCCCCTTCTGCGGAGGTGCGCGAATTTGGTTCCAACAAACATTATTCTCTTTATTATCATCTAAAATAATTTAGGCTTAAATGTTAAAATGGTCCCTAAGTTTTTGTCGTTGGGTCAATTTAGTCCATGTGTTTTCAATTTGGTCAATTTGGTCCTTGTGTTTCTCCATTAGCCAATTCAGGACATTTCAATCTAATTTCCGTGAAAAAAATTATAAATTATTATAAACTAATTTACAAAATTATTATTTTATTTAAAATATTTAAAAATGAAATAAAATTCAAAATTAAAAGAAAAATTATTCTTCTCCCAACTTCCCGACCTCCTCCCTAACATTACCCCCTCTCTTTTCTATGTCACAACGTTAATCATTTTTCAGATTGGAAGTTTTATCTCTTATATGTGTTATTTCTCATTAATTTTCATTTTTCTGTGAAGAAAAAAGGTAATTCTATAATTTTCTTATGAATTTTTTAAAAGAGACTGAATGAAATGCCTTTAATTGGCTAACATAGACAAACACAATGACTAAATTAGCCAAATCGAAAACACGGGGATTAAATTGGCCATATGGCTATAACACAAGGACAATTTTGACATTTAAGCCAATAATTTAGAGAAAATTTTATTCAATTTAGAGACCGGTTTGTCATCTATATAAATCAAAGTTGACGATATAATTATATGGATATTACTTGTTATCAGAATTGTCGATTTGTTTGACACATATTACATATAAATTACTAAATGGTCTCCCAAATTAAATAAACTTTTTTTTCTGGAGATAATCATTAGATAATCAAATTGAATAAACATTTCAAACTATGACTTTGTAAACTGAAATGATAATACGTCTTGTAAGGAGGAATGTAGCCAAATACGATCCTAGCTAGTTTCAACATTTGTTTAACAATTTTAATTTATTATACTATACAATCTATAAGGTCTCGGGTTCGAGACTTGGGAGCAGCCTCTCCATAAAATGGGGGTAAGGCTAGCCGACATTCACCTCTCCCAGACCCTGCGTAAAGCGGGAGCCTTGTGCACTGGGTACGACCTTTTTTATACTATACAATCTATAGATAATAATATTTTAGTTTACTCTAATTTACTAGTTAGTGACAAAATAATAGTAAAGGGTTGTCTTTGCCCCAATTGCGGTTATAACTTTACACTTTCGGTTGGTAGTAATAAAATGCATCTTATCTTTAGACTTTCTGAGTATATTGAAACTTGAAAGCCAAACCGAAGCTACAGAACCCAAACAACCTGGGTATTGTGAAACCTAGTAATTCTTATTTTGTCTTCATCAGGAGATATTCTGAGTTGTAACTAGAACGTATATTTCTCGTCACGTGACACAATACAAATATAGAGATATGTGGTTAACTACACACAAAAATCCTCATTTTTCTGACTTCTTCAGATGCTAACAACTTTCTCAACTAAAATGTAATGTTAGATGTATGAAAATTTTGCATGAACAAATACTGACAAAGGTGAGAAATAAGAGAACTGAAGAACCACTGAATCTTTGATGATTTCAAATTTAATCAAACAGAAAAGAGAAAACACCAACTGAATTGGGTATGTACATTTTCTCTTTTCAATTCGAGTTGTATACTCAAATAAACAAAAATTAACACAAAAACATGGAGAAAAAAAAGAGAGTAGGTAAGCAAAGCATATACTTGGGCACAATCTTATAGACTGAAGCCATTAGGCTATTAGCTATATATACTCCTACAAGAAGAAACCCCTTTAATAACTAAACTAATCCACTTTCCAAGATCAAAAAAATAAAACAATCTTCCAGTTGTTCATGGCTCATTGAGCAATATGACGCCGAAGAACAAGTTACATGATGGGCGCAGAGTGTTTCCCGCCTTGGTCCAACACCTCAAGCACCTCGGTCCTGCTCCTCACCACCCTATGAAACAACTCTCTGATCTGCAGCTGCAAAGGCACCAAACCCTCCTCCATCCTCCTACAATTCTCCGCCAGCTCTGCCACCTGCGCCGCCACCTCCTCCAGCTTCTCCGCCTCCGCGGGGAACTGAAACGAGTCTGCAAATTCAATCAAAGACTGCCCCAATTTCTCCATCCTCTGCATCTCCTCAAGCAATCCTGCCGACCCCTTCTTCTCTTTCTTCTTCCACTCCTCGGCGATCTTCTCCTGAAGGCTGATCATGGACTGCGCCCAGGACAAATTCCTCGGGACCGGAAAGTGAGTTATCAACCCGGTTCTCTCTTGGCACGGAATCGCCGTCACCAACATCCACATCACAGACAACATGATCGCACTCATTATATACACCGGCTGAGCCAACCCAGAGGCCTCATTGCCTTTCGGTGCCACCAAATTGCTCGATATCGCTTGAATTTGCTTTGCTGCCGACCAGCCTTTCGACATTCCCCACGACAAGGCCCGAAAATGCCCGACAGCTCGGTCTTTACTTGGGGCGGAAACACCCTGTCTGCGACCGAAAGACCAAGATCTCTCGGTTGCTTTGTTTGCTCCTCCTTCCTTGTCCTCCACCGCCATCGCCGTCACCAGAGAAAGCAACGCCCTTTTCGCTCTTCGCACCTGGCCGTCACCAAGTGGCCTCTGTTCCAAAGCTGAGACCGCAATCTCAGCCAGCTTCTGAAAATGCCTGACCGACTCGATTCCGTGTGAGACCGCGTTGCAAATGTCCAGTGCTTTGACAACGCGGTCCAAAAACTCGGGGACGAGCCGGTCGAGCGGGGCCTTGGTAATCTGTGATGGGTCTCGACCCATCAACAGAACGGCTTTGAACTCAGCCTCACAGCAAAGGAAGACGTCGAGGAGCTTCCGGACCCAAGCGATTGATAAAATCGGGCCGGAAGGGTAGTCCTCCGGCGGAGATAGGAGATCGGAGAAGCGATCCGCGACGTCCTTTTGGAAGTGTTCAAGGTCTTCGAGCTCCTGTTCGTGGTTTCCGTCCATGGACACCACCTGGTTTCTTCGGATGCTGATTCGGTTCAGAAACGAACCCTGATTATCTGTTGCGCCCATTTTCTGGATTTTCGATTTTGTTTATTCTCTCCCGAGATTGAAGAGCAAGAAGAGAGAAAAGGAAAGCAGGAGGTGGGAGAGAGAGAGAGAGAGAGAGAGAGAGAGCGAGAGTAATGTCGAAAGATAAGGGGAGTCGAGTGGTTTTTGGCAGTTAAATATGGTGCGAATTAATGGGCCATGGATTGTCGGGGACGAGACCGTTTCCTGTTCCTTTTTGTGAACGCTGACTCGGGATTTTGTTCCAAGATTAGCCTTCACATTCCCTTGTAATTACCAGCCCAATACAAAACATTTTGTCTCACACCATGCGACTGATATTTTGTGGGTTACTGTGACCTATTAGTTATCACATATATGTTAACGACCCCACTGTAAAGGTTTCTACGTAAATATCACATTATTTGTAAAAGAAAAAAAATGTGAAGCAACATAAAACTAATTCATGAATATGGTAATTAGTAAATACGAAATTTGGACGAAGATTGGAGATAAGGAAGAAAACTTAAGATAAATTATTCGTGCTAGAAAAGAAAGAAATAAAACTTGATCACATGACAATGAACTACAAGGAAAATATTAGTTTTTGACATGCTTCACATTTCAAAGTGTAAATGTTCTTCTAACGCACTCTTTCATGCTTTTGAGGTGTTATCTATAAAAGCATTATGTTTAGTCCAGTGATTAAGTACGTTTTATTCGCATCCTGAGATGATTAATTAATATGCAATAATAATTCTTACTTCGTGTAATGCTAGAGAGATTGTTTTTTAAAATCATATTTTGTAAACTAAATGATGTAGCGGTTGATGATTAAACTCTTTTTTTAATAATTTTAAGAAGTCCAACCAGCAACCACCATATCATATAGTTTATAAAACATGACCTAAAAAGATGATCTCCCCAATATTTTCCCTTTCACTTCATTCATCTCATTCTTGCATCCTCGTCTCTATATATAATATGATAATAGTCAGGAGTTCTATCAAAAGATTTTAAGACCAAATTCCGAAGTTATGACTAGCTCAAATTAAGCCTCTTCCCTGCACTGTGAATGGTCTTCGTTATCGAAGGTTTCATTATTCTCAAAAGAATTGTGCTATTCACGAACACATTTTTACTTCTCACACACTCATTTTCAATTTTCACTTTCGGATTAAATGAATTGCAAATAATTAATAAATAAAATTAACAATGGTGTGTGAAAGATAAAAAGTAAATAGTACTAGCATTCACAAAATTCATGTTATTCTAAGCCCATACATTTAGCTGTACAATAATTATATTATCTAGATATTGAATGACTATTTGAACCCCACTGGTTAGTATTTGCATTGTTTGGCCATAAAAGTGAGTCACTAAAGAGATTTATTTTGACTAAAATGATCAACTTTTGACTTCGGGTTTCTAAAATGATTCATTTTTAGCATGTCGTCGGTTTATAATCGATATATCGTCAATATTTGATTTTAATCATTTCAATAATTAAATGTCAAAAGTGAACCATTTTAGCTAAATTACCTTTAACGAAAATGACTTTCTTGCATTTTTTTTTACTATAATTTAATGAAAAATAAAGCATGTTTATGGGCTAAGCTTGAGCATTATCTCTCTGACGTAATTAGTTTGTTCAGTTTGAACTGTGCAACCTAGATTTAGCACTCTATATTATCCATATTGTTAAGTATGGAAGAAAATGTGTAAGAAACCTCATTTTTCATCACATTATTTTTGTATAAGAAAATTAATATTACTAAGGAATTCTAAAATGGCAGAAATAGAAATGATGGAATTTTACTTTTTAAGATTTGTGAATTTCTTGTTTTGCTAACTTAAAAGAACAATAGAATTTGAATATCAAGTTTAATGTGGGTATAGCGTCATTAATACATAAATGAAAGATAGTTATGAAATGTGCTGGTAATTGTGGTGGCGAAGGCAGTGGGTGGTGGCGATGTTTATAAATCTAAATAAGAGAATTGATGCATGTCAATTTATAAACTTTGAACTTTGTCCAAATTTCAAGTTTATTTCCCTTACTCAAACATAGTCTTAGAGAAATGCAAATTCCACATATGTATATTGTGTGCAATTTGGAGATTTACATGCAAACGAAGAGTAAGGAGGTTGAATTGTGTGATGTAATCATTTGGAAGAGAAGAAATTTTTCAACGTGTCGAGAACTCGTCCCATTACACAAAATGTCATAATGCAATTAGTTCATCTTTATTTTAAATTTCAACTAATTTTATTATGATATTTGATCTATTAGATCGGATTGTCGGCATTGAAAAATTTTCTACTAAAAGAGTTGGAGAAAGATGCTGAGTCAGCAACTTCGGAGATGTAAGTGGTTCGATCGTTCTTCTGTGACAGATAGACAGTCATGGTTTGGTCCCACTGTCAGTGAATAAAATGGAAAAAGTGAAGGCCCTAGCTAGCCTTGACCGGGTCTTGTCCTCCTCCTCTGTTTTGGCCTTTAGCCCTTTGCGATTCCCTACAACGCTTTCAGCACGATCCACATCTGCTCCCACCTTTGCTTTCCCCACCTTTTATTTTCCTAACTGGATTTATATGGACGGGACACACAAGTTTTAAGATTTGTTCAGTATTGTTTTTGAGGTGTGAATTCAATGTTATATCGCATCATGTGTTACAGATGTTGATTTATTTTTCATAATTGTTTAGAATTTTTTTTTTAATTACGGCCATTCATTTTTCATGCTATTCAATATTACGTATCATTAAAAAAATATAATTTTAGTTACGTCAGCTTTTAAATTGTTAGGTTTTATCAGCTTTTTTATTATAAGATTATTGTATTGATATGATATACATGTAAATGAATTGAATATCAATGACAAGTATGTATCATTTCATTCTTCATGACCAATGTCACAATGGAATACGCTTTGTGGCACACAAAACTTTATTTTGATTTTTCACATCGTTTTTCGTATACAGGTGACAATTTACAACGAGAATTGAATCCAAAATGTAATTTAGAGCGGATTAAGTTTCACCAATACGTGAGACTTATAAACCATTAACTAAGGTTAAACACTAATTTTTGTTAAAAATGCAATCACATATAGTAAATCATAATTGATGTAGTGTACGTGACACATAAGTCCTAAGGTGGTAATGAGACTAGGATTAAAAGTGATGGATAAAAATTTGTACTTTAATCTTTGTGTTATATGCAGCAGCAGCAGCAGCAATGATAGTAGTTTGCTAGGGTTTAGGGTTTCTGAAAAGACTTCCTAGTCGGTTTCTCAAAAGACATTACGAGATGACCATGTGCTAAACTTCATGAAATTAAGGACAACCGAAATATGTTATACTAAAAAAACCAGTTGTTTAGTGAAAACAAAGCTCAAACTAGATGGAACATAGTGCCAAAAGGGAACATTCTTTGTCAAGAAATGAATGCATTTTACCGGCCATGCACCGCGTGTGAAACTTAGAAGCTGAGAGATAGAGCCGGCCTCATTGCCATAGATCTATTAAAGTCAATTATGTTGGTAAAAAAGAAAAAAAATTAGGATGGGGGATTGCCCCATCTCCCACATGATGATATTTGATGGTAACGACATTGAATCGTTAATTGTGGGCCTGTGGCATGAATGAGAGATAAAGAAAACCAGTGTGGGTGATTGGCAAATTAAATAAAAATTCTAAAGGAATTTGATTAGGGTTTAGAGTTAAAATTCTTACAAACTAAAGTGGATAATATTCTTATAGACTAAAAAACCTGCATTGCCAAAATTTAGAATAACCTGTATGTAGCCAAGCTCACTCAACCCAAACACAATAAAAACCCTGCCTTAAACCATAACATAAATCATAATTACTAGCGGATCTAAGAAAGAATCAATCTCTAGCGATTTAAGCACATAATGATGAATAAGAATAGCATAATAGTGACGGAGAGTTCTGATTTGAATAAGAATAAGACGACCAAAAACACATTAAAAAATGGTAGCAAACTCCTTCAAATCAGAGGTAGAACAAAAGATAGAAAAATAAACTTAAAGAGAGCGTTATTTGCTAATATGAAAGTGACTTAACAGTTGTGGCTTTGGTTTTCTTTAGAGCATGTGACTGTGGTTTCTCTATATTTTATTTTTGTCTAAGGATGAGGTGACTAGGACACCAAACATTTGTCCGCGCTGGTGTTTGAACGGTTAGAATGTTTTGATTAATTAATTAGAGGTTACCGTTTTTGTTATTGTATTGTTTGGTAACTGTTTATATAGAAAGCCGGCCAAATCAAAATAAAATTATGATATCTGATCTATTTGTAAGTTTCCTAGCCATTGAGTTATAAGCTGATGCTAACGTAGAATGTCACATGAATTGACATGTGATTATCACTTCATCTCAAATGGCTTAATGTTGACCTGGCATCGAAACGGTTACTGTCAAATGATTAAATATTAATATTCAAACTTTGAAATATTAACATATTTCTCACTGTTTTATGTAGGCTGGTTTCGATTGAGTCAGATTTGAAATTAACGGCCGATTAATTTTAAAGTTTTTAGAAGAAAGTATAACGTTAATAATTCATTTCCTAATGTCAATGCGATCAATCATGCCATGCACCACTTGATTGACGGACCGACTGTTGCTTTTATATTGAATCTTTGCCTGAATTTGTGTGGGCGTTAAACTTGACCCATATGTCCATGCCAGGGAAGCAGATTCCACTAAACAAACCATAACTATATGGGATTACTTAAGTAGCTCTTATTTTAGTTTGTACTCACATCTCCTCTTGCCATGTATAACTCAGAGTTCAATAGACCGGTTAAAAAGTTCAGAGTTTAAATCTTATGCGCACGGTTATTGAATGAAATAAATAAATAACATAAGTCCACTAGTTTGAATATGGTTAAATAGCAACAGTCCAATAGTTTGAATACGGTTATTGGTTGGGTAGGTTTTACATATATATATATATATATATTGTAGGTCTATTTGACTGAACTGTATAAAGAACAGAGAGAGAGGGGCCGGCGGCAAAGAAGAGAGATAAGTAATTCTGAGGTGTGTGTTGTATCACCCCCTTTATTTATAGTAGTAGGATTACATCTCTAATAAGAATTAAACTACTAAAGGGGAATAT